CATACGGAATGAGTTGGCGCTCAAACGGTACGACCAGATGGCCATCAGTCGGGACGCGACGGTCACGAGTGCTGTCCAACGAATCGGCTTTCGTCTGGTCTCCCATAAGAGCGACTGTTTCTCCGTTCACTCCCTGTTGTGTCGGAAGATAATCAGCGAACCATCAATTGGGAGACAGATATTCATCGGCTTTACCAACAATTACCGGACTTGGTTGCAGAGTTTTCAGCGAGAGTTGAGTGGCATCGGCGACAAACCCGTGGACCAGAATATATGGTTAGTGGCCAACGGGTCGGCTGAGGGTCTGTTGGGTTTCGTGAAATGCATACGAAAGGAGCCGAACGGACATCGGGTCCGAGCGCTGCAGATAATGGACACGAGTGGTGGCGACGAGCGCCAGAAGCCGAGGGCCGCCCTATTGGACAAAACAAACGCCGTGTTTAACGATATCATCAAAAATGATTTGGCCATTAATGTGGTCAGCGGTGGCCAAACGGGTCATTACGTGCTCAATGAGCTGCCGGCGCGGCGCCAGACTGTGGACAGCGAACACTGTTTTCTAAATCTCCGCAATCGGGGCGACTTGTCTTCATTCGAGTGGTTCCAGAGTCAGCACAAGCAGTGGCCGCTCAACCGGAGGGTCGGCGAGAAGTTGGTTCACATCTACTATTCGGCCCTAAATTTCAAAGACATAATGTTAGCCACGGGTCAGTCAATCACCACAACAACACTGACATCAATAGACAATCCGCTTATTATAACATAATTTACCACATTTTTTAGGCCGACTTCAGTCGGAATCGCCGACTGGAGAGACTGAATGTCTGATTGGCTTCGAGTTCGCGGGAAGGGATGAGAACATGAATCGCGTGATGGGAATGGTTTCGTCCAAAGCGTTGGCCACCACTTGTCTCGTCAAAGACGCGGACTTTTTGTGGCCGATTCCCGACCGCTGGTCGATGGAAGAGGCGGCTACTGTTCCCTGTGTTTACGCCACCGCTTACTACGCGTTGATAATTAGGGGTCGGCTAAGACGTGAAGAGACAGTACTGATCCACTCGGGCAGCGGTGGTGTGGGTCAGGCGGCCATCAGAATATGCCTGAGTCTGGGCTGTCGTCTGTTGATAACTGTCGGCTCTGACGCCAAACGTCTGTTCCTTCAGAAGCTGTTCCCAGCGCTCGACGACAGGTGTTTCAGCACATCCCGAGACGCCACCGCTTTTCGGCGTCACGTTATGACCGAAACGGACGGCTCGGGCGTCGATGTGGTGCTCAACTCACTGTCCGAAGAGAAACTGTTCGCCAGTTTGGACTGTTTGGCGGCGAACGGACGCTTCCTCGAGATCGGCAAATATGATTTCGCCAAAGACACCATTTTAAGTACGGATTATCATCACATTTATCGTGTATTAATCTCTCTCTCTCTCTCTCTCTCTCTCTCTCTCT